ATCCCATTTCAGCCTACATCACTGGAAACCATCTATTCTCATTTGCCATTTCGAATTTTCACATTTCTACACATTTTGGTTTTACTCTTGTGTTCAGAAAGCTCAGTACTGCTTTATCATATACAGCTCGACTTTCTCTTCCTTTTTTTTTTTTTTTTTTAACCACACTGTCCTTACCTTAACTGTCTGAATTAACTGGCAACTAATTGCAAAAGTTTACATGCTGCTGCAATGAAGAAAATTCCTGCTGAATCCAGTCTGCTATTTTAAGGATGCGACTATATATGCATAGGAACAATGATTATTTTTATTACCCATATCTTAAAATGGAAGATACTGCCAAGTTTTGGGCCAGGCCTATAGCAAATCATATTCTCAATACCTTCACCAGTGCTTTACTGAAAGACAGACAAAAGAAAAGAACTCCTTTACAGCACAGTACTAATTCCCACTGAATAGATCTGCAATGCAATACTTCAGCAAAGTGATAGCAAAAGTTCATGACAGTGATGCTCAACCTTTTGGTTTTGCATCGCCTCTGCCCAGCCCCACATGCCAGCACTGGGCCCCTGTGCAGCTCCCCACCTTGTGTGCTCCATCTATTGTGCAGTGCCATGGCACATGGGGCTCCTCGCAGACCAGATTACATGGTGTCAGAGCTGGATCTGGCCTGCAGCCTGGGGGGTTGAACACCCTTGGGTCCAAGATGCCTTTCAACTCAAAATCAGGCCCTCAAATATACAAACATGACAGAAACAGCAAAATAGGGGGCTTGCACAAACCAAAGCGGTTTGGTTATAAAAGTAGCCTGCTTGGAAAAAGCGGGAAAGAGAAATCTATACTGCATGTGTGTGTCAGTTCTGCTCTGGGTCATCTTCCACCAGGCCATTTGATTGGTCACAGCAGAAGATGAGAAGAAGAGAACATAGAGGCTAAACAAAAAGGGGGAAAAATGCAGAGAGACTGTCAGTCATCAAGGTTTGTATTGTGCTGAAATTGCACAGGCACAAATTTTACACCCACAATTGTTCCACCAAACATGAAGGGTGTGGGAGGACAAGTGCAGCCTAGTAAAAAGCCCTCGAGCTCTATTTTTGTTCAGTTCATATATCCTGAGCATCCATATCCTATTTAGAATTTATTTTAGCTATGAAGTCAACTATTACTGTTACTAGGTCATTCTACTCATCACCCCCCACCCCCCAAAAATTAAAAAAAAAAAAATCACTGAACATACTTCCAGAAGGTAAGGCTTTTTTGCTTGTGGGTAGGATGATTCCAAAAACATCACATAAGAAAGAGCATTAAAAGAAATGGAAAAAGCAGCAAAGACAAGCATTAAGCAGAAGTCATATTGTTTCAATAACATTTACAAAAAACAAGCTTACTGAGACGGTACAAAAAGATCCTATTTGCCTTTTAACCTTACTGGCTTAACACTTTTCTTTGCTCCCCAGTTACATGACTCATCTTACAAATTATGAAAGGACACAATTTGACAGGAGGAGCATTCACTCTCATTATTCCTCAGCATATCCACTGTTTGGATAGTCATTTTTCTCCTCCAACACAATATACCTGAATGCATAAAATACATTTCTGAAAAGTCCCACCTGAAAGCTCAGTAGCTTTTAATGCACAGGTTTGAGTCTTATCTATAAAAGAGCAGACCATTCAGATGACCTGGTCACAATATAGTTTCAAGCCACTATATAGACAGTAAATTTAGGGAAAAAAATTGGGGGAAAGGTAGTTACATTTACTGAGATGTGAAGTATCAGGTGGCTAATGCACCTGACACCAAGAAGTGTCAGACAGATGGCTAAAGTTGGGAAGAGAAGAAAAAATCAGAAGCGAGAGATTCCAGAAGGGAAGGGTTAAAATACAGGGGGGTAACTCAGAATCAAACAAGAGTGGAAGAGAGCTGAGGAAAGTTTAGGGAAGATAATGTTTTAAAAACAGTAAGGTCCTAGGCTGAGAAAGATATAAAGCCAAAGAAAGTGAAAGATGGAGCTGGGGACATTTTGTCTATTGCAGTGAAATTTAAACTGGCATATTCTGCAGGTAAGAAAGAGACTGCTTTCCATAAGAGAAATGATAGTCCATTTTTGCTTCTCTCACTAGCCAAGCAGAAGAAAACTATATTCCTGTCTGCTTCTGGCACAAAACAGCTGAAAAGTTATTAAACATTTGTCAGTTTTAACGACTGCTCAATAAACAATAAAATAGGGGAGCACTTGGCAAGAAAGACCCACATTGACTGGATTCCAAGACAAGGTTTTGCTGCCTGCTTCCCCCTCTCCAGAATACCTCTTACCACCCCTGCAATCTCAGGTCCCTGCCCCTTCCCACACCCTCCCATGGCTTCCTCACTGCCACACCACTTACAGGTTCCATCCCTGCCCCAACCTGGGCCACAGAGCACATTTACTGCAACCCTAGCCCAGCCCAGTAGCAGCAACTAGCTCCAGCCCCAGGCAGACTAGAGGGGAAGTGGAGGGGGGGCCAGGCACAAGAGAGGCAGCAGGGGAGCAAATGGTAGGGGTGGAACAAAGGGCAAGCTGTTTGACCCTCTCTCCCCCCAACCTGCCTCCCTACTGGCTCCCCCTCCCCAGCTGCCCCCCCTACTTCTACTTTTTGCACTGCAGCTGGGGGGAGGGGAGGGGAAGGATGAGAGACATGATACACACACAAATTTAAGATGACCCACCAATAAATACATTCTACACATGGAAAACTGTAACTAATTTATAAACTGTTCCATGTACAGAATCTAATCATTGGGGGACATGTCTTCAATTTTGTGTCTTCTTGGATTTGGGTAAATATGGTAAATGGCAGAAGCTCCCCTCTGAATTCTAGCATTGAGTGAGGTACAGTAGGGGTGAAATAAAATTCTCTTCTAAGAGCTTTATGTGCAGCTCTTACAAATAGGTGAACAGGAAAGAGCAGAAGCAAATGGGAAACTGAGACTCTGAAACTACGTTTGGCCAGACAACATAGGCACAACACCTATAACTGCTTTTAGTTTGCAGTAGATCGAAACTGAGGCATTTCTCCAACCCACATAACCATGTTCATCTCAAGGTTTGCATTTCTTATATAAGAAATAAGCCTGCTAGTCCTCAAGTATCAATGTTTCCTGAATTTTTGTCCACTTTATATTAGCATTCAAGTCACTTTCAACATTGTTCTGAAGCACCCATTGGTGAAATATTAGGGGTGCACCAAGAAGGATTTTTTTTGAATGACACTGATGGCCAATTATTAACCAGCCATATTGGCCAATACCAATCTGATTACTGATATGCAGCCCAGCAGCTTGGAGAGCAGTGTCCAGCTGTTAAGTCTGTTGGGGGAAAGGGTGGGGAGAGGGAGGGAGGGAAGGCAGATCGAGGCAACCACGATGAGGGAGTGAGTGGGGTAGGGGCAGGTGCTGCCCAGCTGAGGTGGGGCAGGGCGAAAGGACAGAGCACAGGGCAGCTCATCTGGGGGGCATCAAGTGCACAGCCCACACTGCACACAAATCCAGGGGGGCACATGACCCTTATGCCTTCCCCAGGGGTGTGCACAGCAGCAGGAGCTGTTGCGCCCCCCCGGACAAGTCGCCCACAGCTTTGTCCCATGCCCTGTGCAGCCCTGGCCGAATAGTGCCTACCCTGCCCCAGCCCCACTGCCTCCCTCACTGTGGGGGACTCGATCTGCTCCCCCCATGCCCCTTCCACCTCACAGACTTACTGGTCAGACACTGCTCTCCACGCTGCTGTGCTGCAATCCTGGCTGCATGCATACTGACGCTGCGTGCATGCACGCGGCATTTATCAGTGACACTGTTGGCCACACCGGCCAAAAAAAGCTGATTGCTGATCATGTTAATTTTCCTTTTATCAGTGCCAATATGATATGGACTGATGTATCAGTGCACTGCTATGAAATATGTTTTTCAGCAATAGCCCCCTTTCCTAGGATCAACAGTTTTTAATGACTGGTTGCTACAAGTGAACAGGAACACATGACTTACATAGATGACTACCAATCCAAGTCTGGACAGATTAGATGTATTGTATTACATAACATTTAGCAAAGGCAAATAAAGTTGTTCAAACATTTTCACATTAAAGTTGCATCATTTACAGACTTAAAACAGTAATGCCAGAATTTCTCTTTGGCATTTGGCTGTCCTCCTGACTCCTGACCAAATAAAAAAGTCTTCTATAACAAAAGCATAACTTTCTTAAGTTACGAATTCCATACACAAGGTCAGTGACCTTAAAATCCTGACATTCTTGCTAGCTGTTTTCTTAGAGACAGCAGATTTGCATTTTTTGCTCACAGCTTTCATGTAAAAAACAAGTGACAATGCATTTCATTCTGAAAATACATGATACACAAGTTTAAAATGGTTCTTTAAACATCCTCTCTGTTCAAAGAAGAGTTCTAACGATTCATGATATAAAACTAAGTACAACTTGTTTCCCTTTTAAAGGTCAATTTCCTATGGCAGAGGGGCTCCAAAAATGCAGCAAACCCTGAAAGATTTTTCACCAATGGAGCATTCTAATATTATAAAAGCCTAAGTCTGTCTGTCTGTCATGCTTTACTCGCCCTCTGATTGGCTGACAAACAAAGGTTACTTGGCTTCTGAAAAAGTGCTGTGAAATAGTTAAGATTTTTTAAAAATAAAAACACAGTACTAAGGTTAAGTCTAGACAAATAGGAGGTATGTTCACAGCATGAAAGACAACAGGTCTTTCAAATACATTTTAGCCTTTTTTTTATCACACACACATTTCCCTCCATTTCCTTCTCTTCAACAGAATATATGCAGTGTTATTATCTGGCTGCCATAAATGTAAACAAGCAACAAACCCTGCTAAACCACTGCCATTAACAGAGGATTTGTAGAGTGCAACTTTCATTAAAACACATGCGCAGCAGCTTAAAGAAACATTTCCAGAGCAAAATTACTTTTCATGCATTATTTAAAGAAAACCACTTGCCTGAAGTGTGTCTCCCATGGTTTTGTGACATCCTTTGGAAAAGATCATTGTTGTGTTCGTAATATCTATAGTCCTCATGTACACGATCATTTAATTGACGTCTCCTTTGTCCATCAAAAAAATGATCATAGTAGTAACGGGCCCCTGTATCTCCATTTTCTGAAACAGAATTAGCTTCTGTTAGAAATGACTGGGAGGAAGAACCATATTCCCGAGGAACGTCAGCCAAACTTCTTGCAAGATACGAAGGTGCAGACAGGCGGTTGCTTTCTCGTCTCATTATTTCATGAGGTGGCCTCTGAACTGGAGTTCTAAGGAAACTCTGGTTTCTGGAAAGTATTCCATCCCCACCAGCAGAGTAGGCAGAAGAACTTGAGTCAGGGAGGCAGATATCTGTTCGTCTTGGAATGGTTGGACCATGACGAATAAATGAAGGCATCAGATCTGTAACAGAACCAGCATTACAATGCAAGCAAAAAACTTGATTCTAGCTATGAAATACAACCTAATTACATGGAATATAAACACTTAACTGGGTTGATCTTAAAGCTAAAAACTTTATTCTAAAAATCAGGAAATTCAAAAGCTACAGTTTGGAGAGGAAGATAATCTTGCTTGTATTGCACAAAGGCATACCTTATTAAATAATTATTCTTAAAGCACATATCAAAGAAATTAATATTACCCCATATGTCTCTCTCAAAAAACTAGGAACATCTATTCCATGAAAGAAACTCAAAGTAACTGGTATTAAGCCACACAGGCCATGCCCAGACAAGAGAAGCCATGTGGTATGTGCCACCACAGATCCGTTTGCAGTGCCACACATCACATGTTCAGGTATTTCCCGTGCTGCTACCTTGCAGCATGATGGAGATCCTGGGGTCAAAAAAACCTGCACGGAAAAAAAGCAAAGCAGTACATGTGGCTGCAGCATGTGACACTCAAAACCAGAGCCTCGCCCATTAGAGCCATGCCCCGGCTGCAGGATCATGGCGGCTGCATAGTTGGCATGCCTAGAGGACGCATGACATGGGTGTTCCCTGGGGACAAGTAGCAGTGGCACAAGGTGTTGCCACTGCTTCATGTCCCTAGGCAACCAAACATCCATGCTCGTCTGGACGCGACTGTAGCGTCCATCATAGAAACTTATCCCTATAGTATGCATGAATTTATCAAGGTGACAAAAGATCAGCTTGTGAACTCTTTAGACAAGAGGTTTTTACTCTGTTTTTGTTCTGTGCATAACAAATTCAAATTTCAGAAATTGTGTGTACTTCAACCAAGACTACAATACTACTATGCTTGGTATTGTGAACATTTATACATTTGTTAGGAAAAAGCACCTGCCCCAAAAAGCTTAGAATCTAAATACCTGAGACAAACCAAAGTAGCATGGAAAGTTTAAGAAACTAACACCGCAAAGTCATTTGGCAAGTCAGGTCATCTCTTCACTACCAGGGCGTCGTGAACCTCAGTACAGAATGCCATTACTGCATACTGATGAAGTGACCTGATGAAGGACGTCTTACATTCCCAAGACTCTCTAACTTCATCCCAACCCTGCAGTTGATCCAATAAGAGAGCTTACCCCACAAAATCCTTGCCCCTTTCCAGAAGGCATAGTAAAGAAAGTTACTATGCCTTCTGGAAACCACCCACCCCGCGTGGTAAACCTCCCATAGAAAGAAATCAGGCCAATTTGTTCTGCAACTTTAACATTTGTTTTGAATGACGTTTTAGTAGACAACACGCATAAACTTACACAAAAGTTATTACACGTGAGAGCGTACAATCAGTTGTCGTTACTTCTCAACAAAACAGCCTAAGTGCCGACAAGTTTATAATGCATTCAGGGCATTTTCCATTCTCACCAGAAAGTTCAACAACAAAAGCTATGGATATGCTCATCCTTCAAGATGATCCTTGTGAAAATAAGACGTGGTCGACTGTTTACTGCAAGGTAAATAGTGACGCACCAGGTGCAGGGGTAGCTAACATTCCCTTTCTCCCATAAGAATTACAGGGACTTTGCTTCTGCTAGATCACACAGGGAGAACAGGCTCACATGATAGTTACTGTATTGTGAAAAATGCTCTTTTTGGGCAGCGAAGATAGTCTGAAAAACAAGTGCCAACCTCAGGAGCGAGATGAACTACTCCCAGTATCACAGCACATTATTAAGGGAACACCGTCCATTTAAACATGTGTTCTACTTCTCTTTTGAGACCTTTTTATCCTGCCCGGGTGCTCGCAGAGCAGGAGCCGGGGGGGGCTGTGACTCCTGGGGGGCCGGGG